AATTGGTAAGCTGAGGGGGGGTCATGCGATTTTTAAATGGTGCTTCCCAAATCCCACCAGCCCCCCCTCCCTCATAAAAAATGAACGGTCCCTTATTAGCTATCACCTTTTGTTTTCGTTATTGTTTAGTTAGTTACCAGTACCTCGCTTTGTATTTTTAAGTTTTAAATCTTTCGTTTTTTTGTAACCGCCACTTAAGATGCGTGCTGTAGTATGCGAAACGTCAAGAAAATTTTAGATTGTTGTTCCAAACCATGCGTAGTTCATGTGTTATGTTTGTTGCCGCTGTTTGCATTTTATTTCTTGTTAAATTGAAATAGCCAAAGAACAAGAGTGTTTATGATGTTAATTAGTTTGATTCTTCTTTGATTCTGGGTCGGTTGTCTTGGTATATCTTCGAACACAAGAGAATCCTAATCACTCTGCTTTTGTCAAACTTTTTGCGATCGTGACTTCAGCGCTAGCGACACTAAGCCTCTCTTGGTTTATTTTCCGTTTTTTAGCAGAGGTACAAATCTGGATTTAAAGAATTCAGAAGATTCTCAATGGTTTTCGTTTCGATTGAGTGTGGTCCAGGGCGAGCGGTCTGGTGACGAGGAGGAGCGCATACCCGCTTTGCTCGCGGATTCCACTCGCTTCGCTCGCATGGTTCTTTATGTCGCGCTAAACGGCCCTTTTCGTTTGCCTAATTTTTTTTTCGCCCTCGCTGGGTGCCTGTTTGCAGGATATTATTTTCTCTCTAACCACTAGCAACCAGTCTGCCTTGATTAGTAATATAATCCGTGCTATTTAATGACATTAATCGTACCACGGCGGGCATGGAAAACTAAAATGCATAAGTATAAGAAACAAAGGTGGAAGTATTAAGAAATCGATAATAAGCTCCTTTCATTTGGCATTTTTCCTAACTTAAAACCCTTGTTCAAACTTCTGTTCCTGCCTTAGCTTATTTTGTTTGTGCTGGTGATTAAACCAGCCTTAAGAGTGAACGAGTTCCAAAAGCTTACCTGCAAGGATACTGTCGTATTCCTTATCATTTTATTATCATTTATTTATATTTTTATTCTTACTTTGTACGTTAGGGGCGTAGACGCCAGAATTTGTATCATAGCTTCGTGTTTGGAGTCAAGTTTTCCCTTTATTAGTTTCCTTTGTTTTGTGCCATTTTGTTCATGTTATGGTCATTTGCATACTCTATATGTTCGGTTCGCGCGTAATTTATTCAGTTAGTAGTGGTTTGAGTTTCTCTCTACGCCTTGTTTTGGATTTGCTCCAGTTTTACAGTTCGTCTTTTATTCGTCTTGTAAGTTTCCTCGTTTATTTCGCTTTGCCGTTCTTCTGCACTCTTCATGTTCGGTCGTTGTTAGTTATTTTATGTTCATTCCCGTGTTTTGTAATTTTGTTCTTTTCAGTTACCGTGTTCAATCTTCATATTAAGTGGAATTAAATTACTATGGCAAGATTTGGATGTGTGTGATTAGCGTGTGCGACAATAGTGGGTGCGTGTGGCTTCTTCAAACAATAAAGCAAGTTTTCACTGCATTGAAATGAAGTTCAGGATTCTTCAGTTATTTTCATGTTTTGGTACGCTTTAGATCCGTTACAATCGTGGAAGAGATTGTTTATGTATATGCATAGGATGATACGCTACAAAATTCACCAATATCCACTGTTTAGTAAAATACATGTGTGAAATTCTGTCACCGGGTTGCTAAGCAGCTAAACTGAACTGTCGCAATAGGTGCTCAGTCTTCGCTGTATACGATCTGCTCCTCAGCGACCAGTTTTCCAAAATACCAAAACTTTCGAATTTAAATCACTATATTTGGAACCTCTTGTAAGCGACCACCTCTCCTAAGCGACTTCGACCACTTTTAGGCTAAAAGTTTGAAATTTTCTTTTGTTTTTAACCTCCCTTAAGCGATCAGTTGACAGATAATAGAGCGAAAACTGGATAGTAAGACGTTGTAACATAAGCGCGTTCCTGGTATTACAAGAGACGGAAATTTCTCAATGCGATGTACCGGATTGTTTCTCAAAATTGACTTTTTACACGAATAAAACATTTAAAACAAGGGAGAAGTCTCTGTAGTTACCATATGCTAATGAGCAAACTTTTGACCCAATACGGTCTAAGGTCTCGTAAGTGACCACCTCCTGTAAGCGATCACCTGAGCATGACGTTGTGGGTGGTCGCTTACGGGAGGTTCAACTCTATTTAATTCCGGCCTCGTCGAATCGTTGTTTGTAACGATGATGGCGATGAAACAATTATTCCTTTTGATTCTTCTTACTACTGGAATATTACTCATCCGTGTAGGATACGAATTGTATGCAAAGCAAATTAAGGTGAATGTCGCAATAGGTAAGCGTTTGTTTTGTCATCATGTGGGAGCCATGTTAATTTAATTTCTAAATAAGAACTAGAAGAACACACTTGGGTCTTGTGTTTTCTATGCCACAAGACCCCACCTTCTACTTTCAAGCAGATCAACCATACAACTCTATTATCCAAGACACATCTGGAATACAGTGAAAAATAACGCGAGAAACGAGTATAAATATTTCACGATATTTCTACTCCAGGACACAAGTTTAACAAATTTCATTTCCCGTGAACCTCTCGATCCTTCTGCCCGCCTCGAAGTCAAACTTGCGCGGAAGAAAATTGTTGGAAAATCTTTTTCTTATTGTATTGTGTAGTACAACAATAAAAGTTTATTCGCTATTTTTTTATTTCGTCTCCCTCCGAGGATTCGCCAAGATATTAACGCATCTAATTACATATATTTTATTTTTTTTAACGAATGATCGAGAGCTCGGTTTGTTCCCTCCATTGTCTCTTTATCAGTGAAAATACGCTTCGTACAAACCATGTCCATCTCTACAAATTTCTAAATTTTTCCCGCCATTAGAAAACTAACCTGTTTTCTTCAGGATATCGCCACGGGATTCTGCGTGAAATTTGTCAGTTGCAAACTTTGAAGTGAATGTAAATCCCTAAGAAGTCAATGATTTGCAATTGGAGCCACTCAATAAACATTGAAAACTGAACTGATTCACATGTTTGCCTTGCCGGAATACGAGGAGGACATAAGTGATTGATCTCATTTTAAACTTGCGGAAAGATCTAGTGGCTCCGACGGCTATTCTGGCCACAAATGTCCCCCACTGTCAGTTAGAAATTACGTTTTAAATTTTTTTAAAAGACATAAAATTAAGACCAGCGGTTAATTGGAAAGGCCTTTCAAGAACTGACTTAGGAGCCTGATCATTCACAGTTTTGAGCAAGGATTTCAACTCTTGTTTTTTCTTTCCGATATAAGGGTTATCCCATCGGTATTTTACTGCGACCAGAATGGTAAACAGACTTGAGTTTTTGTAATTTGTAGGCTAACTCGTTCAGACCGTCCCTCACAGGACAGCAATAATCGCAATATGTTTCGATAATAGCTCTTTATAGTAACATGATATAAGAGCACCTGTACTAGCTGAGGAGACAACTTTAGCAATATCTCATTAACATGTTTGGACCACGACAAATTTTGATCGATATAGACTCCTAAGGATTTGGTGGCCAAAGGTACTAGCAAGTCTCTGACTTGAGTCAATTAACATGCATTCGGTTTTGGTAATCTTTAGGCCTCATTTATTTACAATTAGCTATTCAAGGTTAGCTAGTTTTTTTACTGTTTATCACTGATTCAAGTTCTGGTCAAGCTACTGGTATATAGCAGTCGGACTAAGTTGAAGCTCTTTAATCAATGCCATACATTTAGCTAGCTAGCTTTCTTAAGAGAATCTTATCTATTGTGTCGAAACTCCATTTACAGCTCAACTGCGCAAGATAGATTCACTGCGTGAAAGCGTCGTCTCCAGGACCGACAGCCGCTTACAAAATTGGTCCAAACAACTGCGATCTATTTTTCGATGCAAAATATGCTTTCGTGAGAGCTTTCTCTGTGTGTGTGTTAATGGAATGGGCTTTACATTGCAGTTTATCCCAAATGATCAACATTTTCTCACTATCATGCTGTACTTGCTGTAATATTACTATTTTCCTCTTTTCATTTTGTTTAGTTCTTCCTATGTATATTGCGTTTGTAAATTAATAATAATAATAAAAAACATTCTCTCACGCCGTTGAACGGTTACCCTGGATGCCAAAGGTTTTGTTTTTCTTTCTCGCGAGGAGCGGTGATTCCTCTAAATCCTGATACGCTGCGAGTGGAGATGCTTCGCCGCTCACTGATCGCGGCACCAACGCTAAAAGAAATCTCCGGGGTCCAGGGTAAATAAAGGTCAATTGTTTAACCTCAGAACCCAGGCAAAAATATTACGGTTTTTTTAATAATTTGTTTGCGCGCAATCGGCCCAAGATCACTCTGCCGACGAGCGGTATTTTGACGGACAAATGGCAGCTAGTTGCTACTTGTCAGACTTGTCTAACTCATTAGGTCACCGATACTTTCTCGACGTACTATGATAGTGGGGAATGGGTGCAAGAAGGAATTGACGAGCCAACTTTGAATTTCCGAGGTAAAGCTGCATGACTTGAAACAAATGCTTTGTGGCAATTACGCGGTGTGAAAGGCGTTGGGCTGTGAGTAGACTGACAAGAAATCTAAGCTTCAGCATAGCTGCATTCAGATTCCATGGAAGAGTTGTAACAGCAAAGAAATATTCAGCGGATTTGTTCTGCAATCATTTTTATATAAGGGAACGCTCTAATACTATCCAGGGCTGGGTTGTTCGAAGGCCGATTAACGCTAACTCAGGATTAAAAGTTAATCGAAGTAACAATTTTTCTTGTATAACAATGTTTTTCAATTCTTATGCTTTGGGAAGTTTGAAATTATTCAAACTCAAAACTGAAGGACAAACAATATAAACAGAAAAGCTCACCGAAAAAAAATACTACACTGAAATCAAAATTCTCGCCAATTCTAGGTTAGCTTAATCGGGCTTTGAACAACTTGGCTCAGTATTTTAACCCCTCCACATAACCGATAACACCTTGTGTGTTTTCGTTTCTTCGTAGGGCAAAGTCATGCTGAGCAGGCCACAAAAGAGGATTCAAATGTACAGACTATGCAGGTATGGCAGAAAAAAATGGAAACCGAGTGTAACTGAGAACTTGCAGTGGCAGATTACATTTTATAACATCCCACAGAAAATGAAGCCACTTAAAATATATACAAGAAAGCCTTCGTATATTCCCATCATGCTCTGCGCGTATTGTCGCATTTTTTGCGTTGGTCTCTGCATTTTCAATGGCATGGTATAAAATACGCTGTCTCGTGGAATAGCAGAGAATATTCCACTTGTTACTTGTATTGTTTTTGGTATACACACTCAACTAAAGGCTCTTGTGTACTCCGAGAAATTTAAGTGACTCGTGGGATATTAGACGGTATACCACTAGAAAGCATTGAATTATTAATATAACAGGAGCCTATCATTTGGACATGTGGACATATTTGGTTTGGAAACTTTATGATAATTTAGAAATACCTTGCTTTTAAGCAAAATATTAAAGGGGATCATAAAGAGGGTTTTCTTTCTTAATTTCAGGAATCATTAAGTTTTAACTCTAAGGGACAAAACGAGCGTAGAAAGCTGGTTGAGAAGTTCTGTGCAAAGACCGGCCACAGTGAGATGCCCGATCCGTTTCATTTAGCAGTGATTCCTTCTCTTCAAATCCTGTACTGTGTCATGCCTAAAGTTGCCTCCAGACAATTGAGGAGAATGCTGTATCGATTTAACACAGGTAGGGGGGAGTTGCGATTAAAAGCGTTTCCTCCCTACCAGCAGAAGCAGATCTTAGAAACATATTTCAAGTTCACGTTTGTTCGTGAGCCGTTTGAGCGAATCCTTTCTGCGTACAAAGACAAGTTTGTTTATCCAAGATTTCCCCGCTCAAAACTTCAACTTCACGGCACAGCAATTCTAAAAAGCGTTCGTCCAAACGCTTCCCAGAGCGCACTTGATAAGCTCGATGACATCTCTTTTCGTGAATTCATTGAATATTTAGTCACCAAAGGAAGTAACAAGAGTACACCTGTTATGGACTGGCACTGGGACAATTACGTCAACATTTGTGGAATGTGTGCCATCAACTATGACTTTATAGGTCATTACGAAACTTTTGATCAAGACATGGCAGATTTTAAAGAGGCTGCAGGGTTAACGCCCGAAGATGCAAAGAGATTCAATGCTCATTCCAACAATAAATCCAGTACCGCCTCCTCTTTGCTCAGTTATTACTCGCAGATTCCCATAGAATGGATCGACATCCTTGGTCGGTTGTTCAGAGCCAACTTTGAGATGTTTGGATACAACTTCCCGGGACCTCTTCAGAGTCTTTTTGAGAAAAAGAAGAGAGAACAGTGAGACGGAAAATCTGGTGACGTGACATACCCTCAACATGTTAGGACACATCCTGACTATTATTTTAGGAGCTTTTCCCTCAGAGAGCAGGCTATGTTGGGATATGTTCTGTAGAATTCAAACGAAATCAGGAGTTGTAACGAAGCGACATACAGTTCAACCCCATTAAACGGCCACCCTCAGGGAAATGGATAGTGGCCGCCTCAAGGGTCTGGCCGCTTAATAGAGGTAGAAACAATAGAAAGCCCCCATCGGGACTTTCATTACTGGCCGCCTAATAGGGGTGGCCGTTTAATGGGTGGCCGCTTAATAGGGGTTCGTCTGTGTGTTGTTTTCCCTACTTTGAAGTGATTAGGTAATTTCAGAAAATCCCTTCAAGGAAAACTACATTTTTTTTTCAAAGAAACGCCATTTTATTCTATAACAAATTTATGTCCTGTTGCCCAAAATCGTAAAGAAAAAAATAATATTGCGTTTGAGGCTTTTTGATGGGGTACAATTCACTGACACGAAGTCCGGTTGCTATTGCTATTGCAAAATTCAGGCAGAAGCCCTTAAATTGTTCGACGTCTTCAATCGTTAACGTTCCTTCGTTTCATTTTCTTACACCAGTTATACCGGTGGAAATCAAAGCTCTACCTTTTCTATAGTTTTCTGCTGGTTAAATTGTGTAAGTCCTATATGTGATTCTAAAGATAACTGAAGATAATTTTTTGGGGGGCTAACAAAGATTCTCTCTCTGAGATTATCAGGGAATTTAAGAAAACACGATAGCGACGCCGAGGACAACGTTTACAGTAACTGGAAAAGTTGCTTGTTAGGTGAGTTGAACGGCTGAACCCAGTCAAAAGATTACCTCGGAATCTCGCGATACTCTAAGGTCATTTAGTTTGTTTATCACGGTCAAAACTATTTCGAAACTGACTATGGAAAACAGGGTTAAATTTGTCAGAGAAATTTTAAAAATTAGCCCCTCGTGGTTCACGCTCTCCAGACCACGCAGAATTTGGTCATTTCACGTTGTTGTTTTGCGGAGGACCTAAAGGAAGTGTACTAAGCTGGAATAGTAGTTATAAAACAGGCCTTGGTTTGCATAAGTTGGGAGAAGAAATACAACGTGAAAATAGTGGTGACCTAAATCAGTAATAAGAAAATTTTTTTCACTTTATTTGTCTCGAGTAAAGACAGTCACTTTAGTTATCGAAAGGAACAGTTCACACTTCAAAAACTTCATCGTACAGATGTAGATATAAATATCTTTAGAAAACAGTCCTACGAAAATAAGCGCGCTGATTGGTGAAAAATCGTGTTTCTATTAAACAAATAGATTATGAGAGAGCGAACTTTATCTAAACTTTATCTAAATCCTCTTCACAGACACTTCGAAAACGCCAAGAAGCGGCCGTTATTTTGTTAACAAGCGCACACTGCTACGCTACTCACTGTCTATCACAGATTATATAATAACCCAAGTTATTCTCGCATTTTGATTGGTTCTCGCCTATGATCTATTAGAGGACAGACGCACGATTGACGTCATCATTACAA